CAACAACAACAACAACAACAACAACAACAACAACAACAACAACAACAGTCCCATACACTCCATGTATGCCATATATGCCCACGTTGACCCCCCTGGCATCACCGCCACTGATCGGCAGTCCGGACTGGCAGTTCCATGGGGTCTATGGCTATGGGAGAAATCCCCAAACACGTCCATGTCGCTCCATGTATGGCATCTACACTGGGGTGGTTTCATGGGTCAATCTGATGTAAATACATACCAGCACCCGACGATAAACAGGATCGAGTGAGATCTGTTAGACTGTTAGGGTCCTTCCCAACCCTCAACTAAGCACCCAAAGAGAGGAGTATAATGGCGCATATATGCCAGTCTCATGGAGTGTTTCGATTCAAGCTTCGCATCTGGTCCTGTACATCTCGCGTCTTCTGAGCTCGCTCTAAAGACGAAAGACCCGGATCAGGCTGACAAAGGTTGGCCACGAAACGCTCGGCAAGCTGGTTGAAAGTTGTCTCACCTGAACCTGTTGTGGCATGTTGTGGCCGCTTTTCCGAAACCAACGCCAGTCTGAATTTATATATCTGGTTTATTCCACCACCATTTTGAAGAACAAAACCAGAAAAGGGCACAAAAAGGGTTACCACGTCACCTGACTCAGACTCCGGCCATGGCCAAAACTGCACCACCAACGCCGCTGGGGGGTCGCGTGCCCCGATCGTCCCACTCGGCAGTTGCGCCCAGCGTGGAGAGGTCGAATGGTCGACGCTGGGGAGAGGTCCGGTGCATGGCCTCACAGCGCGTGGCCAAACGGAAGGTCTGTGACCACTGAGACCCCTGGCATCTCCTGTAACATGGTTACATGGTTACAGTGGTTTCATTTCGTAGATGGCACAAACCCGAAGATATCTTTTTAGATGGGGATCCATATAAACCACCTTTTCGGGCTTGTGCCATCTATTCTGAAACCACTATAGTCACTATATATGGTATTGATCAGGTCCGACGTGACGAAATGGCGTGTGAGGACGAACACCGTTTGGCGTCTCCACCGTTTTTGGACAGCAGAAAATGGCAGAACTTGGTAGAACAGTTTCACTTTAATATATAATGGTTTCCCAGCCTCTTGCTGTTCTTCCTCCACAAAAACACCTCATACAGTCATATAAGTCCATATAAACATATCATGGTACATCACATCCCATTACCAGTAACAATGGATGATGATGGTTCAGCTGCAGGCCTTTCTCTAAAATATGTACTTCTTACTTGTTTACCGACTGTTGCAGGTACTGGGGCAATCCCTGTAACTGCTCCTGAAGTATCGGAGAAGAACCTCTCACTTCTCGCGTTTCAAGAACTCACGTCGGTCATGAACAAAGAGGGGCCCATTTTGCACCCTGGAAGACGGTTCTCTACAAAACGCTGATGGCATGGTTACGTGGATATCAGCCAGTCCTGATTTCGGATGACCATGTTTGCAAAGTGTTTCAAAACGTTAACTCCCTGCGCAGGTGGGGACTCACTCCACGATTTCCTTTTTCTTGCTTGGAACGGTCTACGGAGTCTACATGGCTTGGTCGCTGTGGGGAGGCCGTCTCACGATATTTTGACCGGCGGGAGAAAAGGAAGTGTCCTTTCAGTTCCCTTAAAGACCTTTCTTTTTATAGTCGACTGGACTCCCAGGGAATGAAGCTTCGAAGTTCTTTTCTGGTTCTCGGGCGTTGACAGAACTGAGCATGGTGAAGGGCTTTATAGTCTCTCGCTTCCTTGGCAGGCAGAAGTGCATGTGTGAAGTTTGGTCCTCCACCAAGGACGTTCGGTTTGATCATGGATCTGTCCCTAGGGCTCCTGGCCGGGCCATCCTCAGAAGCGTTCGGAACATGTTCACCGCCGGCGAGGGCTGTTGTTCGGTCGCGTCAAAGTCGGTTATTGGAGGCGAGTTCGCCGGTCTCACGCGTTCGCCCGGTCACCGACCAACGAAGCTCCGGAAGGTCTAGGCCCCAAATCATGGGACTGGGAGAGTTACATTGATCCCCCATGAAAATGACCCGCAACTCTTCCATTTATGGGCTTGTTGATGCTGAAGAAAATTCGATCCATCCCCGAATCGACTCGCTTCTGCTGGGCCACTTGCGAGGGTTCAGCAGCCTCTTGCGATGTGTCTTTCCGGCTGCATGCACCGACCAGGAGCCTGGAGGCCCTGTCCAGGAGAGTTGACAGATCGCACAGTGGTGCTCCTGTTGCTGACTTTCATCTGTTCCACAGTGGGCAGTGTCCATGGCACTGCGTCCGCACGGCCATGGCACGGAATGGACTGAGCAACATGGATTGAAGACATAATAAGCCACGCATTGAAACAGCGTGAATAATGTCTATAACGGTCAAACTGTTCTGCCACCACTTTCGCTCATAAAGCACTCGTGAAGGTGCTAGCTAGCTTTTTGGGGGAGTCTCGCATCTTCAAATGAAAAATATTATCCCACTTCAAGCGTTTCGTGGCCAAAAAGGCACTGAGCCAATATATGATTCAAAAGACGCGTCCATTCATTGCCCATGGTTCAGTCACACAGGCACAGCGTAGTTCAGAATTACAGAATCACCCATGATTGACAGTCAATTGCTGACGCTGGCAATGATCAAGCTGGTGATCGGATCGGTCGACCCTACAGTTGACTCATCTTGACTAGGCTGGCACAGTATCCACATTCGGCCCGGGTCTGGACCCTAAAAAGGTCCCAGTCTATAGGCCGCAGATGTCTGCGGTAAAGCTCCTGATTCCACTCCTGCCAGGCTTCATCCCCAGCATTGGCATAGGCCTTCAGCATGGTGTTCCACACAAAGCGCCTTGACATCGGTACTGGGGAAGGAAGTGAGATTGAACAGCATATGTTTGGAAGCGCCCAGGTGCCCCAGTCCACCCAAAGCGCGCCAGCGCGCCAATCCCAAGTGGTGCTTGATGTCGGTTTTTTTGAGCCAGTTCGATCGGAAAGGATCTTGACTTTATACGGCGCATTGATATACGATTCGTGGAAGGGACTTGACTTTTCAATTCTGCACCCAAATGTGGTTTTGATTTGTGGTGATCTATAGGAACTGCAGGTGCTTCCTCTTGGAAGCACTGATGTTTTACGATCACCCTGCATGGATCAACCAAATCCCTCCAGGAGCGGGTCTTGATTCGTGTTGACCGATTTTCACATGCCACCCCTCGTCAACCCTCAAAACTCCCTGTTGGATCTCCAAAACCGAACGCATGGCGTGTCGCAGTTCCCTCTCTCTTCCACGATGGCGGGCCGCAGGTCACAAATGATCACAACACCCCCCCGCACTTCCTCCACTTGAATTTGCTTCAAGAACCAGCCCTAGGGATCCAAGTACCTTCTCATGTGATTGGAGACAGAGTTATGTAGGTGCCAGGAGGGTCCAGTCGTACCTTCTGAGGTTCGGTACTTGGACCCTCCAAACCGGGACAACATCAAACATGTGATTCTTCCCCAGCCTCTCCAGCCGGAGTTCGTTCTCGGACTCCCCCGCTCCACCGAGGGGCGGAAGCTGCCCAGGTGAAGCTGCGGCCTTCAGCAGCTGGAAGAGCTCCCAGGCCGGCGCCACAGCGCCTTGTGCGGCAAAGGCATTGAGCTCCTGACACCAAGCTGGAGGACTTGGATTTTGCCAGGAAGCTTAGAAAAATATCACCAGGTTAGGGGGTTCCCCAAATCGGAAACATACACAAAGAACCTTAAGCAAAACCAGGAGGAGCCATGGTGAGTAGGTGGGCCCTACTTTCCAGTCATGTGGGTCCATGTGGAACCATTTCGGAGGTAGATAGGAAAGAAGCCACCTGTTTCTTTTGCATCCTGCGGTGGTTTCAAGCCTCTAAATACAGAACCCTCCGTTCAGGGTGTCTATAAAGAGCCCTTAGAGGTGATTCGGGGTGTCCCAAAACCATCTGTTGGAGGGTCCTAGTATAGAATATATGCCATTTGCACAGCACGCAAACTGATGCATCACGAACGGTAGAGTAGAGGCCCAAGATCTCCCCTATGTGGACGTGAAAGTATTCACTCCCACTCTTGTTCCCAAGCCCGCACCAGCTGGGATGCAACAAACATATATAGCCAAAAATACCAGTGGATGACTTCATCGTGGATGACTCGTGGTGCACGGTATTAAGGGGCACATCTCGGCACAACCGCCACGGTGAACGAGCTGCAAATGTCGCAATCCCCAGGGCTCCAAGTACTTCCTCCGAAGGTATGACTGGACCCTCCTGGCGCCCACCCCAGTCCCACCTTCTCAGAAGGTACGACTGGAGCCCTACGGATGATGGAACATGTTGGGGAACTTGGTAGGACTAATTCACAAAAATGTCTGAATATTCACATCAGTTGGGTCTATCCCAATACCTGTAAAAGTGGATGATGATGGTTAGGTTGCAGGCCTTGTTCCAAAATAGTTATAATTCTTTACTGACGGTTACATGTAAGAACGGATTTTTACCCAACACATAAGATTCACAATACATTCACCCTAGGCTTCCAACCACCAATAGGCTTTACCGAATCAACTATAAGGATTTTCCCATTTTGGGTCTTGGAAGTCTAGGGTTCATGTGTGAGTCGACTCAGTCACGTTGAGTCAGGTCCCTCGTGCGTCTTCCGGAGCCAGGGTGGTGTACAACGAGTCCCCGGGATCCGCGGACGAGTCCGCTGGGGCCAGTCAAGCCCTAGGGATCCACTGCCGCCTTCTCAGGTTCGGTACGGACCCTCCTGGCGCCTACAAGCCCAGTGTCTCCGATCACCTGCTGAGAAGGTACTTGGATCCACTCTTGGATCCCTAGGGAAGTTTGCTTTTCCCCAAACTTTTGGTAAACTAGCTAGCTGGCCGCCACGACTCGGTGGCCCCAGGAAGACCTTACTCTTCGTCGAAGAAGGGCGGGCGACCGGTCTGCTAACAGGTCAGAATCACCCATTCTTCGACGGCTCCATACCCCAAACACGACCCATGGGACTGCCATATATGCCAACATTGGGGTGGTGCCAGAGGGGTCAATGGGGCGGCATATTTATGTGGCAGTCCCATTGCGAGTCAGACGGTGACGTCCCAACAAATAGGGTCACTCTCCTTCAGCTTGGCTCCATGGCCTGGCCAAGTGTTCCACACATCTGCTTCATGGAGAAAAGGCTGATCTAGAAGACTTTTGAAAGGATTCTCCGAACGTCCCACCAAGTCCCACCACGTGTTGGAACTTCTTTTCCGGCGCAGAATGACACCACCGGCCTCTCGTGTCCACTGGACAGGCGGACGCGCGCCCCAAGGATTGCGGTCACTTCTTCTGCCCCCGGCAACGCGCCTCTCCCCTTCATCTCGCCAGCGTGACGGTTCCATGAGCGGTTCGGCGGAGGTTTCGACCACGAGAGCCAGGTGTCTTTCAGCGGGTTCTGCTGTTGAGGGTGCTGTCAATGCTGCAAGGTTTCCACGCGAGTCGAGTCCATGTGCCATACAGGTGATACAAGTGGCAGAGTGATGCAGCGCCATGGAAATCATCCGTGCAAATTCATAACGTCCATGACTTGCTTCGGTGTTGTTAGCTCAGGATTCAGGATATGCTGAGAATAGTGCAGTGCATAATATGCTAGCTACTGCGCCTCAAGCCACACAAACGATGAGGGACTTGTCTTGCAGCCCATCGAAACCGGCGGTTTTGTCATGTTTGGGCCCCAGCAGCTCCCAAAACGCTCGCAGGTTTGCTTTGGTTCGGCTGGTGTTGGACGCGTTACGAGCACCAACCCAAGCTGAAAAAACAGAACTCGTAAAGTCTCATGTAGTTAGTTTTTGCGCCCTTGTTGGGCCATCTCCAACACGGAGATCACCCCCTCACAAAACAAACATAACATGTGGCCTGGAGGGTGAAATTGTGCAAAAACATGGTGAGCAGCTTGATGTACAGCAGCACCAAGCACGCAGACCCCCGGATGGCAAACGGCTCTTTGCTCTGCCCATGCGCCTCTTTTTGGCCTCTTTTCGAGTTGGCACGATCTCCCGTGCATCAATTCAGGGCGCCGTCTCGGCGGTGGGCGACTCAGCAATGTGAGAAGGTGATGCCACAGGAAGACATGATGATGATCAGAATCACCAGAATCTGGGCGGTGGGATGGAAGACACGTTTTAGGGCGCAACGGAAAACCTCCAAATCAAGCGGAGTCTCCAAAGGACTGTGAAGAGGGCTGCTTCCAGACCACAAAAAGGTTTCCCCTCAGGATGAGAACCCTAGAGTTCCCTGGCTTTGCGGTGACCTTTTATGAATTTGGGCACAGTGACCATGACTGACTCCATCTGACCCACCCGCCCCCCCCCCAAAAAAAAGAACGAACGAACACCCTAGACTTCCAAAACCATTAAAACAAGATTAGTTGAGCTGGTTTTTGTAGCATAAACTAATGTAAAATCCTTAGTTGAGTAAAGCCTATTAAATTAATGATTGTTGGAAGCCTAGGGAACACACATAATTAAAATTCAAATGAAGTTAGGATCGCTGGCCCAAGTTCTCCCATTTGTTCAGGGCAAGTCGCCACGAGCCCCGCGATAATGGCCATCTTCTTGACCTCTGTGCACGGGTGCTTTGGCCCGACCGTGCGCAAACATGGGGCTTGGGCTTGGGAACAATGGGGGGGTTATGCCACTTGTAAGTATTCATAATCATTCTGACTATGCCACATTACTCTTGTACACATACTGCGTTGCATGCTGCACTGCATACTGCACGACTTTGTGGTTGATGTGAGGTGTATATGCAAAGATACAGTCCAATCATTCAAAACAAAAACATGATGACTAATGCAGTATTTAAAAAACACACACACAAAGAAAACATATATATATATATATACATATGCACCTTGAACTTCCTTGATCTTTACCTCCGAACACCGAACACCCCCTTACTTTTTGTTGCGCCCACACGTCTCGACCGAGTCCGCGGCGTTGCCCCACCACACCAAGCGCCGCAGCTGTTCCGCATCACGCCGGAAGGAGGAGGCGCTCTCCTTTTCGTCGCCGATGAACCACCGGAGCCGGGCGACCCGGGCGACCCAGGCGCCCACGTTCCCCAGTGACGAACAGGGGATGTTCTCTCTGTGAATGATCTGTGAAGAAAACACACCAAAGTCTCATCTTCATGTCATGATGTCATGATCTGTGTGGAGTCACTTATTGTTTTATGTGTCTGCAAGTCAGTGGCACAAATGATCCACTGACGGATCAACACGTCTACGGATTTTCTCCAAAATCGATGTCAGCAACAACGGCTCTTGCAACGAACCGAAACCATGGATCGAATATGATCGAACTAGACCTTTGTGGACACATGTGGGCACTATGATCTTCTGGGTCAGGGGTAGTAGTCTGTGAAAGTTCACTTGTTCATCTTTATCGGGTGGTGGAAGGCTTCAAAGATCTCAAATATCAAGTTTCAGGCATAGTAGAGACACAGGGGCTCCGACCATATCCTCCGAAGGTAGGGACCCCAACCGCCCCTACCCCAACCACCTTCGAAACATAACTAGTTGGAGCTCTTGGACACCCTGGCTGGTGGAGCCTCTGAAAATGCCTCGCACTCTACCAAGAATGAAAGGTCCAAATAGATAATCACTCCCTGGACCAGGACCTTCCAACAGGTCACCACCTGCGACTTGACTAAGTCAGTCTACCAAAAGCCTCTGGTGCCGGGAGTAATCATTTTTTTGGGTAGACTCTTGATTAATAACCCCCCCCTTTGAAGAGGATGTTCCATTCCAATGGGAGGGTGTATGGTCCTCAAGAGTCTACACCAGTAGCTTGGAGGCCATGCCGGACCAGGGCCCACCCGTCCCGGCCCTGAAAGAAAGAACTAAGTCCTTAAAGGAAAGGGATCATAAGTCACAAGTCTACTTGATTTGGGGTGTGGCTATGATATATAGTGTGGTGTTGCAAACTACTTAGTGTAATGGATGATCAGTTCTCTACCTGGAACAAAAACAGAACCAAGTCTCGGAAAGGACCTGGCTGCGACTCACCTGGGACGGGGGTCCGGTGACTCCCATGGAGGGAGGGGCAGGATGTGAAGCCGAGGATGAAAGATCCGGTTTCTGAACGTGTCAGTCTTTTGGGAGGCTACTTGAGTCATTAGAGGTGGTTCAATTATGTTCAATTGAATATATCTGAATCTACAGCAACTGGATCATCATGTTTCCGAGTGTCCACCTGCGAAGATCGAGTCAAAATTGAAAATCACTCAAACATAGTTGTCTTGAATATGTGAATCATCTAGCATAATATATGTTGCTTTAAGTCTTTGCAAACTTCCAAACATTTCCCCGCTGCGAATGATGCGCAAAGACTGTCCAAGCTGCCAAAAGCTCGATCTTCTCCTGTCTCTCGAGGATCTTGTCGATGCTTTCCATCAAATGGTCATTGATATGTTGAACCTGCCAAAGTACCATTCACCGATGTATATGCTCTTCATCGAAGCATACGACACCCCACTTGTGGGCAAGTAGTTATCCCACTCTCCCGGCGCAGCCTTGAACATCCACAAGGCCTACTGTATGTTCAGTAGCACTTAGGGCCTCGGGGTACATGCCCACTACCAGTAACAGTGGATTATGATGGTTATAGTAAAGGCCCCTAAAAAAAGAGTGACAATTAGGATTGATTATGTACCGACTGTCACAGGCAATGCCACAGACCCAAAGTAGCACCTCAATGCGAGGGGGGATGGAGGTGGACCTGGGAGAACACATCGCATTTGGGGGACATTCTGCGGAAGCGCCTGGCTTTATGTCATACTAAACAAACTACACTTGACATGGGGTACTTTGCACGATGCTTGGTATGACCACTAAGAGAACATTAAAACATAACAATAGGAACAAATACCTGTATGTATAGAAGCTAGTGTTGTGTGTGTGTGTGAGTTTTCCTTGCTGCCAAGTCTCTAGTCTAGTCTCTAATTATCAAATCGAAGAGTTCAGTGACATCATGACATCAACACAAAAACCAACGACATCATCCCACTTCTAACCTAAGATCTGACCCAAGTTCTGGCACCCATCCACTTTACAGTGCAGAGTTCAGAAACATCACTTCCGGCACACCTTGGCCATCATGGAGGCCACTCGGTCCACATCGGGCGAGTTGTACCGCTCCAGGAGAAACCTCGGGCGGGTTGTGCCCCACGGTGATCTGCAAGCGGGAGCGGGGTGGATGGTCAGTTGAAAGGCTCCGGCGGAATGTGGATGCGAAGCAATGAACCTAACCCCTGTACCAGAACGGTTGTTGTTTTTTATGTGTTATTTCAATACATCCCCCTATGAATAATTCATCGAATCATACATTTATAATCGAATAATGGTGAAGCACATTCTTGGTCGTCGACTGGAACAACACCAAACAACGGATTTGATGGCAAAGAATGGGGACAATTCCGATCGACACGCTTCGATGAAACGCACCCGCTCTGACGCGGGCGGCGTTTGCGGAGCAGGCCCGCCACGACCCGCTGCTGCCGGAACCTCAATAGCCCCCCCCGAAAGCCTGCTCTCTCTATATATGCCTGCATACCCTACAGGTCAAATTGACCTCATTTCACCCGGAGTTGGTCATGCAAAACCACGGTGTTCAGGAGGTTTGGAACGCTTCACGCGGTCAGACTGGACATGGTTCACGCGGGAAAACACGCGGTTGATCGCCATCGAAGGCTCCCCATCCGATGTCATCCGGACAACCCGGCCCCCTGGGCCACCCCAAACATGTAGGGTGGGCCAGTATGTGGGCCAGGAGGGGAACCGCAAAGGAATTCAGCTGAAGAGGGGCTGTAACTCTTCCCTGAAATCGCTCTGCATTCCATAGGCGATGGCACTCTCCACCTGCTCCTGGCCGCAGGGAGTGATGTTCATCGAGGCAAGCGGCAAGAACTTCGGTACCCCCCTGATGTGAAAAGGACAAAGGGGGGGTGTAAAAAGCACAACGGATCACCTTTGACCCCTGTAGAAGTCCCAAAGACCCAGTAGAACCATGTAAAACCCTGATTGTTTGCCTCCAAGCAAGTAATTAGTATTAAATGTAATCAGTTTTTAGTGGTTAACGTGTGACCAACTCCCAGTAAAAAGAGCTCATTGACTTATGATGTTTCGGAGTAGGTGGCACCAGGGCACCCCAGTGATGCTCGGTTTAGTGGAATACCATCTTGTCACGGGTGCCGATTCCGTGAGATCCAGCCGATGGAGTCATCGGGGGCCAGACCAAGTCGGTCTGTTCTTCGGTTCTTCGGTCCGTTCGGCGTCTGTTTTGGGGCCCAACCCGTGGGGAAGATGCGATGGGAAGCGATGGTTAGGGCCGTTCCCTCTCTCCTTGCTGTACTTCTGCATGAAGGCCTCCTGTACCGCCTGGCCATCGTTGTCTCGCATCAATCCACCAAAAGGCTTGGCATGGGCAACCTCCTGATGAGGGTAGGCCGTGATGGGCCGTGTAAGATCCTTATGTCTTAAGTTTTAGGCCGTCTAACACTTAATGTCACAGCCATCTGGCCATCCCGTTTTGGAAAGGCCGCGTTCAACTGGACGGAGTGACACGACACCGCGCGCATGGCTGATGACACACTGCGCGCATGACACGCCTGTAGAAAGCCGAAAGGGATCCGACGTCCCAAGAGCTTTTCAGCCATGCACACGAACCACAAGTCGGCTGTCTGGTCCACGATGTAGTGGAAAGCATATTCGCCGTAGATATAGCCTCGGACCCGGAACCGGTGCCGGTGCTCCAGGGCGGTCCGGTCTCAAGTGCAATAATGTCTCCACATGTTGCATGCTAAGATAAACAGGGGGTGGGCAAGAGTGTCCCAAGCAAGCGAAGGGTTCAACATGCTTTCACAAACTCTTCTCTATGCGTGTCATCCTTGAGTGGGGCGCACGCTCTAATCGCTGCAGTGTATGTATATATATATACATATATGCGTGTTTCTGATGTTTCCTACTTTCCTTGACATACTTTACAACTAGTGTGCATGTTCCCACTTGTCTTCACTATCGTGCGCTTCTTCAATATTCTCTACCTGTTCGTATTGTTCCTTGACCATGTCCTACATGTGCTCTACTTTCTCCACCTTGCCTAATTCATACATAACTACGGTTCTCCACGTGGTTGAACATGTATCCTGGATCATGCACTCTGCACTTCCACCCAGTTCTTTGTTGACTCGTCTCTGCTCTGTCCTCTTTTAGTCTGCCCCTCTGCCCTGTTTTCGGTCAAAGTTATCCTATACAGACTCAGAATCTCACAGTTTTCGGTCGTCACGGGGAGACACGGAAAGCCTCGCTTCGCCGCGAAGCGTCCGACGGAAAGCTAATACATGCTAATACGAAGAGCCCGCATTGGCACATTCTAGTGGGCTCGAGTCTAGCAATGTAGCAACATTCTGCAGGGTGCAAAGGTGCCAAATGTGCGGGCATGATGGCCGCACAGGCATTTTGCAAGAGTTCTGGCCATGCATGACTTTAATGAATCGTTTCAAGAAGCTCTTCCATTCTGCAGAACTCTCGAGCTTTTGCAGAATCTGCATCGTTGCCTGCTGGAAGTTCCCAGCCAAAGCAGTGTACTCTGCGAGAACAACCTGAGTTGTGGCATTTCGGAAAGGCCTCAACTAGCATCTTTCATCTAGAACCACTAGCATCTCAGCATCTGCCATCTACCAGGACCTTCCAAGCCCGGTGGTTTTTGGACACCTTCTAAACCTCTAAGAGGCTATTTACAGACACCTCTTGGTGTCGGTCCTGGTAGAGGCTTCTTTCCTTTCTAGATCCAGCCCCTCCCGCAGACCCCTTCGAGAGGTGCTAGACCGAAGCTAAGCCGTGGTGTCAGAGTAGCTGGCACAATCCCCCAAAGGTGGTGTCAGAGTAGCTGGACTCCCAGCTCAAAAGGATCTTTGGGTACCAGTGCCACCTACTCTGAAACCACTGTAAGTGAATCTTTGATCCATTGATCCTCTTTCACTGCCCTTCAACTCGGAACTGAACATGCTATGGAACCTGGACCCATGGTGTTGCCAGGGCCCCCCCTTCGGCGCTTACATTTGACCCGCGACACCCCCAACGGGGAAGTCTTCACCCGATGCCAGTCATTGAATGACCGAGACCACCTCAACCTGATAAAGGTGATGATGATGGGTGATGGATGATGGAGGATAGGATTCTGTTGAACACTGATGCCTGTGAGAAGGGTACCCTTTGAAAGCTTCAAAACGTTAAGATGTTGATAGAGTTTTAACAAGGGAAAATGAAAGAATCTTGCTAGATATAGATGTTTAGGGATTATGGAACAACCATTGCTGGGGAGAACGTTGGCAGCTTAGATTGCAGCATTAAACGGCATACTAATGAATTATGTTGTTCTTTCTAGGGGCAAATGGGCTTGATTGAAAGGGGGGAGGTTTCTGCCAAGAAACACAGATTATTAGGGTGATGGAAGTGTGGAATTTAAGTGTTTGATTAGTTTAGTATTGGGGGCTCGAGTTGGGCTTGATTAATAGTAGGAGGTTACTTAATCCTATGTTGACATTGGATGGATGGATGGATAGATTATATAGATAGATTAGATAGATAAAATAGATTAGATGGATAACATAGATAAGATAAAATAGACAGAAAGAAATCAAGAAATACAAATAGGTAAATAAATAGGTAGATAGATGGAACCCCTGGCGATATATATATATATAACTATGTATATATAGAGAGGGATAAACTCCCTGGTAATAGCAGAGTTATCTCGATAGAAATAGAGAATAGATCTGCCCTGCTGCATTTCCGCAAAGGAAACATGTTATTTCCGCGGCGAATCCTCGTGAATCCACCCGAGGCCTTCAGGGGTGGCAACGAGGGCGGCCTGGGTGTGTATTTCAATATAGGAGGACCCCCAACCGGTGGTTTTTTTTTTTCCGTCATCCTATTCTGCCCAATGCAGATCAAAACGATGTGGGCGTTGACAAACGACCAACTGGACCAGAAACATGATCCACCATGCTCCACCGATCACCCTTTGAAACTAAATGACTCAACTCCAATAGTGACGTATCTCGAGCTTCAAGAAAGAGCATTTAAGGCACGGTGCACTCTGAAAGATCGAGCCTACAAGATCTACAAGCTAATTAAAAAGACCCGAGGGCCTTGATGCACTACCGGACCCCTTTGCCAATTAGGTGCTCGCATTTACCACCGCAAGCAATCAGGACCATAGTGACCATAGGCGTTTGTCTTAACAACCCTGTGGCATGCAAAGCAATTGTTGTAGCTTCACTCTGGCATGCGGACCACATGAATAACTTTGTACCAATGCGGCATTGATGGTTCACACAAATCAACGTTTTATGGGATACCATGACCCCTGTGATGTTATAGAGGATATATCCACCTATATCACAAATCCATTTAACGAAAGTAAACACTTTCAACTCCCCCAGTACCCACCGGTACTAATACATAGAAGGCGGGTTTTGGGCCACCCCAAGCAATAATGGTGTTGAGATGGTTTTGGTCTATGTTCTTTAGGAACTTTAGGAGGTCTCCCTATTCTCCAGGAACAGTTCTTTAGGAGGTCTTCTTCCACAGTTCTTTAGGAGGTCCCTCGGAGATTCCCAAACACTCCATGGGACTGCGGACGTCCCGCCAATGGGTAGACTGGTCTATTTCTTTTTGTTGAGACTGCTGCGATGGGTGGCTGCAGACTTACGTCGTTGGCGAGCGCAAGAGCAAAAAGAGGGTGTTTGGGAGGTCTCCTTTTCACACCCACATCGATGGGGTGACCCAAATGGCACTCTGAGTGGCTTTTTGGCCTCGAATGACCAACGCATAAATGATCTGCGACCTCTCGCGCTCCATGGCTCCTCCTTTGATGCAAAACGTTGATGTGCGTCTGAGACCTCCTCCCACTGATCATCACTGATCCACTGAGCGAATCACCCGGAAATGTCTATCGCCGGTGCTGCCAAAGGAAATGGTCTTCTCGCAGGTTCCATGTGGCGATGTTCAATCCAAAGGCTCAACGATCTGCAGCTTCGGAAGGCATGGCTTTGGATGTGTGCAGGTTTTTTTGAGGTCACAGTTGATCAACAAAAAGCACCAGAAAGCATAAGTAAGCACTGCAGAAAGGAAACAGCCCCACAAAATCTCTCAACGCCATGCTGGACCTGGGAATGACCTCTACAACATCTGTATCTTCACATACCTAGCACTGACACAGTCCCAAATTGCCCTGGAGGTCTGGAGAGATGTGGTAGACCGTGACGGGAGTCGGGTAGTCTATTGCCGCCAGGACGGTCCGGGATGATCCAAACCGCCAAGGTGGCCCCCTTCGTGGCCCAGTCCGATGGAGTCCGTCGAGTTCCGTAGGATCCGTGGTGTTCGGTCTTCGGTCTCCTGTAGAACCTGTAGAACTCCTTAGGGTTGGAACCACAGGATGCCCACACCTTTCTCCCATCTCCAACGCGCCCATCTGGGACCATGTGCTTCTTTTGGGCTCCCAAACAGGCCAAAGCAGCGCTGTCGCGCTGCTTAAGGTGAACCAGAAGGCTGGTCCAACGGACTCAGGTCCTTCCCATCGGCCGCATGGCAATCGGACGCGTCGGAACAGTTGAGCAGATTCACTCTGGACGGATGGGTCTGGACGGATGGGTCTGGACCTGCAATCAAAGCTGATGCCAATTCGATTTCAAAGGAAGTACAAGCATCGTACTAGCAACATGTCCTAATTCGGAACATCTGAAGATGTGGTACAAGTAGTTGTCATGGAAATCCCTCGCCCCTATAACATGCCGGAGCCCGAATCGCTACCGAATCGCCACTCAGCAGACGACGCCGCTCGAGACGCCATCGCCGTCGCCTTGGTCGGACCAGTTCACCTGGAAACACCTGGCAACGCCGGCGGTGTCGGAGATGAGTGCAAGAACCAACTATTTTACAGAGCCATCATTGATGTCAACAAACATATAACAACCTATAACATATTTTAACATCCTTTAACATAGTTGGCATCTGAACCTCAAGTGCACCAAATGGCTAGCGGCTAGATGGCACAACACTCACAAAATGGCAGCAACCGCACCTCCGCATCAAGGCCTTCATCAGGAATGATCCCAAGCTGACATGGATACAGCAGCCTACACCTGCACGGTTGCCGCAATCTGTGCAAAAGCGTGTCATGGCTACATGGCACAACACTCAAGTGCACAAGATGGCAGCAACCGCACCTCCGCATCAATGCCTGCCATAGCAAATGATCCACAAAAAGGCTTGGCAAAATGTTGAGCATAAAGCCTGTGCCTACAACACTCAAGTGCACAAAATGGCAGCAACCGCACCTCCGCATCAAAGCCTTCCATCACAAATGATTCCAAGCTCACATGGGTACAGCCACCGGACTGAAAGATAGTCCAAAGACTTCGGGGCACCCGAAAAAGAGGTGATGCGGAATGGAACCACCCCAGGGCCCTGGTATACTATTCCCTATAATGCCCAAACACGACCAATGGGACTGCCATATATGCCGATCAGTTGGGGTGGTGCCAGGGGGGCCAATGGGGCGGCAGAACTATGGCAGTCCCACTAGTCCTGTTTGGGATTAGTGGTAATGGTGGATGATGGTGGATGACTTCAGAGTCCAATTCCGGGAGTGTCTACTGGGAAGCTCAACCGTCGATGCCGCTCCACCGAAGCTCCGCCGAGCTTGGCCGACCTGGAAGCTCGTTGGTGCGTCGTCTCTCAGAGATCCTTTGACCTCTCAGACCGTTGGTCTGGCGTGACCGAAATGTGGCGGACGGTGGCCGTCCAAAGCTGACAACCGCGAGTCAGGCCCCAGTCCCAATGTGGGTCACTGACTTGGGGATGGTCAAGTCTACCAAAGAGCTGCAATCTTGAAAGGCGGCTTGCCAAATGTGCATCAC